AGCTATCTTTGCAGCATTGTCATACCTCTGACCATGAAGGTTCTTTACATCGAGGTTGTCTTCTTGCAGCTTGCAAATAACTTGGTCCATTAAAACATCTGCTGTTTTGCCTTCCAACTCAATAAAATCAAGAAACGGTTCCTCTACATTTAGGATATTTGATAATGTGTGACTGATCTGTAGAACTATCCAAGAAATGGGGCATAATATTTTGTTATTTTGATCTCCTTGATGATGTCTGACTTGACTCGGCTACCTAGGAGTTGTAAGAATTAATTTTTAATTATGGGTGAGAGATATGTGACTGTTGATTGAGAAACACTTTGGATTGTGGTTAATGTTCCCTCATTACCAGATTGTCTTTTCCGAGCAGTTGCATCAGTGTCAGAAAATTCCCTGGGTTATTAGATTATTTTGGTAAACGACTCTCTCTGTCCTCTATTAGCAAAATTTTGCTGTGCTAGGAGCATAACGCCATCAAGAATACATCTGAGCGTGGCACACCACTTTGCCACGTTACCGCTTTACAGCACAGGTACTTTCAATTTGACGTTACATGTCATGATCTATTGTTGCTCTTCTTTCTCGGTGAATACACATCTCTTCCCACTTAATAGATACCTCCTCATGCCCTAGATTTTATTCATGCTCAGATATTCGAGGATTCAACTTCCTCCACTTGTAAAACCTTTTCTCTTAGTAAATAAGCTAATGTCTGGGTTGAAAAGGCAACAGCAGAGATAGCTGTGATTTATAAAAACCGTCTTTTTTTCTCTTATTTATTTTATTTTTTTAAGATTTTGAGGGGTGGAGACCTGAGGCAACTGCCTTGTTTGCCCCGTCTATTGTTTGGCCCTACTTTTAAGCAATTTCCCCTCCCCCCCCCCCACTCCTTACTATGCCACTGTATACAGTATACAGTACTGTATAATTATAATTGGTAGGTTATAGTTTTCCTGAAAAATTAATTAGAAATCATAAACCATCACATGTCCTGTATATAAGCATCAATTTATTTAAATTTAAACATAGAAAAGGAAAGCCTGATTATATTTTTTCTATGTTAGAATTGTTGGTTAGTTACATACAATGGAAGAGTGTCTAGGTTAGTGAGACACCATGTAAAAATTGTATAGGTTAGTCAGACATTATGGAAGAGTGTGTAGGTTATTCATACACTATGGAAGAGTTTTGTATCAGATTCTATGTGTTTTTTTTACTGCACACGCATTTCAGTTATATTAGATAAACCTTTTTGACACTTTCCTTGACAAGAGAATGGAGTTCAAAACTTACTCAAGACCCATCAACCTGATATACTGTAGTAGGTATTGTAGAACTGTTGTATAAGAACAGGAGGATCAACCCTGGAGGATTGTGAGTTTAATATAGATGGATAGGATTCATAAACGAACCTTTCTCGGGCAAGACCTTAAAGTCAGCCAGGTGAGAGTGCAGGGGAGGATGTTTTGAAGAATCAAAGTGGTGTAAAATTATACACTGAAGGGGAGAGACTTATTCATTATTGGTTGTATCAATAGGTACCTGAATTGTAGCTCATTAAACCAAGGGAACTGAAGAGCCATAGTAGACAATGCAATGGTGCTCAACTCTAGCCACCTCCTTGTCATGAGGGATTCAACAATTGCGATATCGACTGGAGGAATGAATTTACACTAAATGACCGTATTTATCCTGCAACTCTTTTTTTTATAGTAACTCTGAGAGACAATTTCCTATTTGAACATGTTAAAGATCCGACTCACTATAGAGAGAAACAAACACCTAAACTGCTGGACCTCATCATGACTAATGACGAGGGTATGGTCGCCAAGTTGGAACACCTAACCCCCATCAGCACCAGCCATTATGTGATGTTGACCTTAAGACTTAACTGTTGGCCAAGGTTCAAATATTACAATGACAATTAGAACAGGATGAGGTTAGAGATAAGGGGTGTCTAGTGGCCTGACTAGCTGAGAAACAAGAATGCAGATACTACTCTGAATATCATAGCCAGTAAAGTGAATTATTTGATAATAGATATATACCCAAGTCCAAACCGACTGGCTGCAGGACTACAAGGAGACCGTTACATGTGAACCATGCAGAGGTTGACAAATTAAGAAAAAACCTCAGAATTTCAAGAGATGGGGTGTGACAAATGATGAACAGGATAGAAGGATGAGTGCTAGGTTCAGAAACTAACCCAAGTCAGAGAGTAGAAAGGCTAAAAAAGAGTTCCAGAGGCAGATCACAAACGAGGCCAAATCAAACCCACAGGCTTTCTACTGATACAAAAAATTTACATTAAAGACAAGTGTGGGCATATCAGATCTGAGACTTGTAGATGGTAGTTACACAGACACAAAGCAGGACAAGACAAAGGTGATAAATAATTGTTTTTCCTCAATTTCAGAAGAGAGGAATGTGAATAAACTCCCTGCTTTTCATGAATGACAGGTTGACACAGTGCTGTTGCACATTGAGTTCTCAGAGGCATGTATCAGAAACAAATTGTCAAAGCTAAAGGTTCATAAGAGTCCAGGCCCCTGACATGGTGCATCCCAGAGTGTTAAGAGAGTTGTGCAACGAGCTTGCTGAGCCCCTGAAGATCCTGTTCTGTAAATGCATGGATGAGCAAAAGATCCCCAGTGATTGGAAATGGAATATGTGAGTCCTCTATTCAAACAACGAGATAGCTGCTCCACAAATATAGACTGGTGAGCTTGACCAGCATAGTGTGCAAAGTACAGTACTAGAGATAATTATACTGGGTGCCATGATAGACCATCTACTATGAAACAACCTTGTGAAGGATTGCCACCAAGGTTTTATGCCGGGATGCTCCTGCTTGATGCAATTACTTAAGTTATTGGATGTTTGAACTCAAATCCTAGATTGTGGTGGCAATATTGATAATAAATTTCTAGACTATGCCAAGGCATTCGACAGTGTACCCCACGAAAGGCTGAAAATTAAACTGGAAGGGTACGAAATTCAGGAAAGCGTCCTAATTTTTGATCAGAGACTTTCTTCTTGACCATAAGTGTGTGATGATTAATGGCATGAAATCGTCATGTGTACCAGTAACAAGCTGGGTTCCACAGGGTAGCGTCCTGGGATTGATGTGTTTGTTTGTTTCATAAATGACATGCCAGAAGCTGTACATTCCCCCATACAAACATTTGCTGATGATGCCAAGTTATTTGTGGAAATTGGGAATCAAGTGGACTGTGAAATGTTACAGGAAGATCTCTGTCAACTTAAGGAGTGGCAAACAAATGGCTGTTAAGATTTAACATCACAAAAGGCAAAAGGATGTAACTAGGTTGCATCAGTTGTAAGGAGGTGTATTACATGTCCCAACGTGATGAGGAAGCATCATAAACTGAGACCAAATGTAAAAAAGGACCTGGGTGTGTATGTTGACCACAAACTGAAATTCTCAAACCATTTTGAGAAGAAGGTAAATCAAGCATCTAAGCTATTGGGTCATATAAGAAGAGCGTTTACACACCCAGACAGTGCGACCCTCATAACGCTCCTCAAAAGCGAGGTGTTTCTCTGTTTGGAGTACTGTCACCACATCTGGTCCCCAAGATTTGATAGAGACTGTCAGTTGATTGAAAATGTCTAGAGAGAGGGCACCATATTGGTGCCTGCACTACAGCACCTCAGTTACCTAGAGAGATTGGAACTTCTATAGTTTCCAAGCTTATACTATAGGCGGGTAAGGAATTACTTAATTGAAGTGTATAAATACCTCTGAGGGCATTACTCAGTTGAATGTTCATACCTGAAGCTGGTTAATGCCTGCCCCACTAGGGGTCACAGTTTAAGATTGAAGTTAAAAAAAACTGTGAGGGTAAACTTTTTTGGAGTGAGAGTTGTGAACTTGTGGAACAATCTGCCAGAGTGTTGTGACAGCACCGAGTGGGAACAGATTCAAGACTAGACTTGACCAACACTGGCTCATGTACAGATACATTCTGGAGCCAGTACATACCCAGTACTTGCCAACAGTACATAACAGAGACATAACCGATAACCCAAGCAGCTAACAAACCAACACTGTTTCTCAGTTACCACTATGGTAATGACCCATGACTTGACACCTGTGATGAAAAGGCCAGTAAGTTATAAGCCGACTCATCCAACTGTATATTGGGAACACGTTTACACATTTTGCAGGAGATTAATAAACGTTCTCTACCAGATTGCATAAGACCCAATTTTTAAGAATTTTAAATGTTGTCTGTTGTAAAAACAACAAGACTTATTGCTTGGTACTTTATGATCCTACCTGCAGAAACAACAACAACGGACCATTATGTATTTCTGAAATTATTCAATACTATAGACAAATTAACTTTTTATCTTCCTCACCCCACATACAAGAGGTGAGAGTATATACTGTAATGTGTACTATTTTTATACTCATTTGACGTAATGCAACAATCAGGAAGGAGCCACCATTCTTGTAATTATTAAAATATAACTTTTATGTAGTTTATTGATTTTGTAATTACTAACAGAGGCACATACTGTACTGACCACCCTTAACACCTTAGCACTCTTGTAGTACAGTAACTGCTAATCAGGGATTTTATTAGCTATTCCTATACCTTAATGAAATGTACGTAATTGAATTAATCAAGGCATGTACATACTGTACTGTATATGCTAACCTTAATACCATAATGAGCTAATAGTAATTACCGGTATGCAGGCGCATATATGTCAAAACATAGCTCCATAGCGATCTTGTAGTAACTGCTAATCAGGGCGTTTATATAGTACCCTCAGCACCTTAGCGAACCTGTAACTGCATTAATCAAGGCGTATGTATGCTAACCCTTGGTACCTTAGTAACTCTTGTAGTAACTACTCCAACAAAGGCGTATGTATTCCAACCTTTTTGCACCATAGCGATCTTGTAGTAACCTTGCTTATCATGGTGGTTGTAATAAATCGTTAACATCTTGCTCACCACCCAGCCGACACGCCCTCGACGCTCGCTGGATCTGCATTACTCACAAGCGGTAAGTCTCCCTTTGAAAGCGCATGAAAGAAAATGAAAACCCATTATGATTTTTATATGAATAACTGTGATATTCACGGATTTAGCGAAAACCCTTTTTTTTCAATATTGCTTATACAGTATTGTATTTTTATATTACTTACATGTGCATGTTAAGGAAATTCAATGATTTTATTTATTTTTTCCATTTATATATTAGATTGCATTAAGCAATTTTTTATTGTTAAATAATGCTTCATTTTTATGATGTTTTCTACTTATTGAAAAGTTTCTTTTAATTACTGCATCCAATTTTAACATTTGAAATATCACTATTGTATATTTATGATTAACATATTCTTTAGGTTAAACATGTGTAGTTATTAAATTACAGTGCCTGTACTGCTGTATTTCATAATTAATTCAGGATCTAAATTGGAAAGTCCAAGGTTTACAAGACAGTTTGGATTACCAATTTTGAATTTTTGTGTGTGTGTGAAGTTAACAAATACAGTAGTTCATATATATAGTGGTCCCGAGATTCTAGTGCAGCAGCCTCACTTAGGTTGACGAGGTTTTGCTCATTTGCTCTCAAATGTATGGAATGGTCTGTTCCCTAAATACCGAACTTGGAGAACCTGATTGATTCATCCAACTCCTGGCGAACACAGTGAGCTTGTCAACCCCGAAAACCCTACAGCACGATTTTTTTGTTTTTCTTTCCCAACACTCGGACAGATTAATTATCAGTGAGTTAGTCTATGGGATTGATCAATATTCAACCCATTGTACAAGAGCTAATTGGCTAATAACTTCAGCCTGTTAAAGTACAACCCAGTGTTCTTTTCAACCATAATTAAAGCAAGAGCTTTGCTTACCTTCATCCCTAGTCAGGTTTACTTCAGGCCTTCATATTAATTGGAGGACAACTGTTTGTTGTCTGTGATTCTCACTGCTGGTGTACGTTGACTCATGCTCATGCTCAATCATTGGTAATGATATTGTCTAAAGGTTATTGAACAAATGAAGACATGGAAGTCTCCAAACAATTGATATTCATCACGGAATAACCTGAAAAGCTATTTCTTAGAATGAGGTAAAGTAGGTATGAAAATTTATATTACTAATAGCCATATATTATACAGGAAGCTTGAGTTTAAGAGAATTGTCAGACTATGACATGGTAAGGCAAGGATGCTGATAGCTAATGACCAGCTTCCAAGTGTTTCTGTAGCAGAGGTGACTAACTTTACTTACACAAGTACAGTGCTGTACTATATAGTGTTTTACTCTTGTCATTTTCTACATTTTCCTACATTTTAGGAAAATATTTCCGTGGATAATTTACGTTGTCAGTGAGATAATTTTTTGAGTCTTCTTTTTTACCATCTGTGCAAAGGTAAAATCAAAAGTTTTGGTTGTTTCAAAAGTCGAGTTCAAAATTATAAAAGATTCTTATTTGTTTACACCATCAAGAATATCTTTTAACCTATGGATGTTGGAGCACATTTATGCCTTCAGTTTGAATCCTGTTAAAATGGGGAATATATATATATACGTATATATATATATATATATATATATATATATATATATATATATATATATATATATATATATATATATATATATATATATATATATATATATATATATATATATATATATATATATATATATATATATATCATGTAGATCCACAATGAAAACGTGGATAAGATAAATCTTGATAAAATCACACGGGAAAAGGGAAACAACGGAGTTGCCTCTGAAGATGTCTTGAATAAAGACGAAAGATATGGTGCTCCGTTGTTTCCATTTTCCCGTGTGATTTTATGAAGATATTATTATTTATACCAACTTCTGTTTCACTATGACCTGTGAGCCAAATACCTACTACTTGCTTTTCCCTTTTCTAACCATTTTCCATAAATATTTATATATAATACATTCTACACCAGTCCACGCCCTGCTGAAGGCTTACTAAATAGTACTAGTCATGTCTCAAATTAAACATAAGAAATAATTTACTTGACTCATAGAAAATTATGTATACAAAACAAAACAAAATGCATCTTCCTTTCTAAAAGATATAAGAGCTGTTGCTATACTCGATTTAACAAAACCTCATGACTGTACTGTTCTTTGCATAACAGTACAGGATTTTGTTTAATGTTAAGGCAGTTTACTGTGGTTCCCGTTAAGACAGTTTACTGTGGTTCCCGTTAAGACAGTTAATGTTGACGACATAGTGAAATTTTCATCTGTTTTTTGTTATACAATAGTAAATTGGTTTCTATTCAACCAATAGTCTATTTTCCTCCTGTATAATTTTTTTTATGTACAGTATATTTGCCATACTTTTTTCTTTCTTAACGGGCACAACCATGTTGATATTACAAGATCTATTATGTAACTCAGACAGACATAGGGATCAAATGACAGTAATATCACTCATAAACAAAAACATGACTGCCATTCACACTTAAAGCGTTTACAGGATATGTTATGAGGTCTTATAGCAAAGAAAGTTGCTTACATTTTATGTTTAAATTTATGTATGCAATTTGCAAAATATTATTTGAATCAACCAAGAGACATTAGATTAGGTGAATTGTTTATAAAAATGGTGGCTCAAAAAGTGTAAGATATATCAAACTTTCAAACTATTGGTACTGTACATTCTTTTAATACTGAAGATTTTTTTTTTCATCTTTTATTAATGAGTTTTACAGGATATGTCATATGAAGTTTTCAATGGAAATAAAAGTCCAATTTCATTCTAAATATTAAGTTATAATGTATAGTTAATCTTTTTATAAAGAGTAATACTTGTACAGTACTTAAATATTAACTTAGTTTCTCTTTTCCAGAGTACATAATAAATATTATTTCCCAGTTCAATAAAGAGTATATTCCATATATGATGGACATAACAGAATACACTGTACTGAGATAAAAATGGTATAATACTTAATATCAATCATTTTAATTAGGTACTGTACTGGTTATTGTGACATTAAGTGGAATTCTCAGCTGAGACCCTATATTGTTGGTTAATACCTGATGCTAATACTATGTAATAGTGGCTGAGAGCAGTTACTAACCTTTGCTTAAACTAGACCTAACCTAATGAATTAACTATGCTTTACTTAATTTAATTAAAGCCTTAAAACCCTACTTATAAGTCAGCTGTGGTCAATAAGTACAATATTATAATATTTTCTGGCAATATACATAACATTAATGAGTGATACTTATTACTTTAACGGTAGATAACCACTTTAATTAATGATTTATTAATTATTACAGGAGTCTTACATGCCCTACCATTTTCATGTGGTAAACAACCGAAAGTACTATATCTAAATATAGTATATATATATATATATATATATATATATATATATATATATATATATATATATATATATATATATATATATATATATATATATATATATTTATATATATATAAATGGGTGAAGTTGTTTTTACACTAAGGCACCATTACATTGCACCAACCCTCCTTCCTCCACAAAGAATCATATTCCTTAATTTTTTATTGTTGTTGTTTAGTGCACTGGGATACTTAGAGAATGTGCTTAAAGACCTGTGATGTTAAAGCAAAAAAATACTGTACAGTACTGTACATGTAAACAGCAGCAACCTTCCTGCATGTTGCTTTGCGTCCTAATTATGTCATTAATTATATTTTGAAATAAAACTCATCAACAAAATGACTAAAAAAGCCAAAAAACAATTTGAATCCAGACATAGCTGGAATGAATGTAGTGATGGTAAATTTCAAAGAAAATTACCTCCTCTTACTCAAAAGTGGATGGAAAATTCTTCACAAAATATGTAAATTAAATGAATTTGATGTTTACTCTTAAGATTATTCATGTTGGTAAGGAGTAGACATGACCCCAGGGAGAGGGCCAATTGTTTTGCTGAATTGGACTCTGCCACAAAAAAAATAAATAAAAAATAAAAAATAAATAAATAAAATAAATAAATAAATAAATAAATAAATAAATATTCTAAAACCAGTTTTTGTGATAAAGTTCTGAATGCGACGTCTAGCTTTATACAGTACCTAGGTATGTAAATGCCTATCATTAACTCGTCAATGGAAATGAAATTTATTTATTTCCACCCGGTACAGTTTTCTGAAGTTATTAAACCTTAACTTGCTTGCTTTTTGTTCTTTACTAACATGCATGTTGTCAGTTTTCACTACATAGCAAAAAAAATTAAAAAAATCACAACAATATTAGTGGAAGAAGTTGCCTACTATTCTTTCATAAGGATTTATAAGCTCCATTGTTCAAATACTTACATTAAGGAATCATGTTCCCCTTTGTCATATATCACTCCAATTCTTCAGATTGGAGGTGCCAGATGTCTCCATCGGCCACAAATTTTCTCACTTCCTTTGATATCAACTCAATTTATTTACATATTTTGTTAAAAATCAAATTACAGTATTGGTGGAAGAGTTTTGGTATTCGATTATAAAGTAGAGTGTACGGTGTTGTAGTTTGAGTTTTTTAATATAATATCCATTTGATAAGGATTAAATTCAAGTGATGTCATCATGGTTTTCTCCATAAATATTTATACTTTATGAAAATAAATATTGGTAGTAAAACATCTCCCTTACCCTGGCATGTGTTCCACCAGCTGAGTGTGACTCACCTCTTGGTTGTTATATGTTGATCCATTGTGTTCCATGTTCCTTAAGCTCAGTGTTGCCCAATTACAGTATTTTTTTTTATTATTACAATATATACTGTACTGTATATGTTAAAGGTAAAGTTTGTAATTTTTGCTTAACTACTAAGATATTTTGTGCCCAGTGTAAAGAAGTTATTGTTTTATTTTGTACAGTGATATCCCGGTTAGCCGGAACAACTGGTGCAGAGCACTTCCAGGGATGAGAGATATCCGGCTAACCTGACGACTTTAACAAACCCGGAAAAAATCCTTATCCCCGAAATCTTTTCCCGTTACTGGGAA